TAGTAGGTTTAGGTCACAGATAATAAGCTTGAGTATTTAGGTTTTCCTAGTCCAATCTTTTAGTCTGAGCTCTTATTTTTGCATATAATTTATAACTATTTGTCTTGTAAAACGGGGTTTTTATTATAATTACTCTAATAAATTACCAAATAAAGATATGAGCAAGGCCTCACTTTAACAACAAAAAAAAAAATAATGCTTAGCAAAATCAAACAAAAACTTGATTATCAAATTTTTGAATCTATTAATTTACTGTATTGAGTATTAAATGCAAATTTTATTTTTAGTTTATATATAAATTTAACAGATATCTAATCTTTCTTTAAGTTTTGTAATAACTAATACTAGAAGTTTTAAAAAACTTCTGAATTTATTAATAGGATCTGCACAGAATTCATATATACTTCTAAACTACTTCTATACTTAGCAGAGGAATATTAATTTATAGTAAACTCTATAAGGAAATAAGAGAGATTGAACAAAAGTAGTAGGGTGTTTGACCAGAATTATGGTTGCAATGATAGTGTCAGGTAGTGTTAATAGGGTTGGTTCTGTAATTATTGATCATTGTAACAATGATAATTAAATTAATAAAATTTAAGAGTAAAAAGTAGTATGGTAATAAGAGTTATACAAAGTATGTAATCAAGAAATTAATATAAATAAGAAATATAAATAAAGAATATAATCTAGTTTTTTGACTAAAAATAAAGTAAGTAAACGTATAATGAAAAATACTTATATATTAAAAGTGTTATAAGTATGTATATAGTGCCAATTGTAACTAAAAGTTAAATAGTCAATAAATATATCAGGTATTTGGATATTATAATAAATAAATTTCTAGATTTCTATTTTTTGACAGAATTTAACAATTTATCATGTATTCAATACTATATATATATATTTATATCTTTTACTTTTTGTAATACATAATTAGAAATGAATGACTATAAAAATCAAAGTGATTACATTTTTGAAGATTATAAAATTGGGCCCAAAGATGAAGCTATAGATAAGAATGAATCTATTAATTAAAATAAGTTCCAAATAAGTAAGGAGATAAGTGAGGAAGAAAATAACACCAAGGTCATAAATATTTATATAATAAAAACAGAATATAATATTTTAAATTAAATTCTTTAAAACACATTTTTTGTCTATTTATTCTGATTTTTTTTTTAATCCATATTATAATTCAAAATTAATTTTATATAGCTAATAAAATGCTTGGTCAAGGATATACTACAAAAAAAGATGTTCTTAATACTGTTTAGAAAATTGCTTGACATATAGGTTTTGCAGTAACAACTAAAAGTAGTAGCAATCATCATTTACATATTCAATACAAATATGATAACAAGCCCGAAATAATAGAAAACTAACAACAGATACTTACAAAAAAAAGAGAACAAGTAAATGATATAGATGTCTATATCTTATAAAAGCTTTATTTAAAGATTTTGAGTAACAAGTAACTAAAATTATAGATAAGCATAATCATTTTATGATTAAAGATGAAAGAGTTTTTTATGAACATCATCAATTAAATCAGGAAGCAAGATGTACAGCTATGAAAATGTTAAAAGCAGAAGCAAAGCCAAGTATTATTTATGAGACTATTAGAGATGAAGATGGAAAACTAATTACTACAAGAAAGGATATATCTAATTTGGGTTTAAAGTTAACCTATTAGAAGAAACTATCTCAATGGAAGCATTAATAATAGAGATAGAAGAAAGAAAATATATTGTACATCATGAAAATTATAAAGAAATATTTTATATTAATTAAAATATTTTTTAATAACTTTTATTTTCAATATTTCAATATATTAACAATATATTTATTTAATACAGATAGTCATATAAAGTATTTATTTTTTTGTTATACTAATTCAATTAAGAGTGCAAGATGGTTTTTAAAAATAATTCTAATTGATACAACATATATAACAAATATCTACAAGTTGCTATTTGCAAATTTTATTGGTATTGGTAATCTTGAAGTCAATAAATTGCAATCTTTTAGTATTGCTGGTGCTTGGATTTTAGATGAAACAGAGAAATTATATATTTGGATTATTTAAAAACTTGTATCTCTTGTGTTTTCTAATATTTATTCTTTTGTTTTTGTTACTAATAATAATGCTATATTTATTGGTACTTTTTTCCTAAAGTCAAGAATATTTTGTGCACTTGACACATTTTAAATAAATTTAAAAAAAATTTAAAAAAATATTTTGCTAATGATTTATTTTATGAAATTATTAAGAGCATAGAAAGTATTATCAATTTAAGAGATTATAATAAATTAAATTTAGCAATCACTAACTATTAGAAGCTGGCTTTATTTAGCTCAAATGCAGACAAAGTTATAAAATATCTTGACACGTAATTTTTTTTAAATTAAAATTAAAATTTGGCTTTAATTGACTATAAAATTAATTTTTAATTTAATACAATTTAAAACAATTAATAATTTTTTAAAGAATAATGAAAATAAAAAAAAATGGGTTGGTATCTATACAAGTAAGTATTGCATTTTGGTGCAACAACTACACATCGAGTCGAAGATACACACTTAGTTATAAAGCATGCTATCAAGACTTCATAAAATTTGACTAAAGCCTTTAACTCTTTGGATAGATATTTGTATTTGTATTATAAAGAAAATTCTCAACAATATGAGAATAAAAGTATAGGTATTGATCCTTTATTAGCACAAGATGATAAGGACCGATTGAAACCAATTTTGAAAAAGTATCTCAATTTGTATTAAATAGTATCAAAAATAAACTTCTTAATACAACCACATATAAAGCATGTTTGTATAAATTACATATTAATTATAATCTATCTTGTCACTATAAGCTTCCAATAAAAGGCCTTGTTATAATATCGATGATTCCAAAAAGATAGTTGCTATTTCCTGAACAATATTGATCTGATTCAAATAATATAGTTTAAAATAATGTTTTAAATAATTTAGATAGTTTTTTTTGCTCAAGTCTAAGCTATATAAGATTAAAACATGATATATAAGCTTTATAGATAAACAATAAAAATTAGAACTTTTAGAAGAACTTGATAATGTTTTGGCAACTCCTGAAGTTAATCTTTCAAATATAAGAATTTCTAAAAGAATTATAGAAAAAGGTTATCCTTTTTGAACCAAATGATTACCAACTGCATTGGAGCATACAAAACAAGAAGAAGAAAAAAAAAAGTCAATAATGAGAACAATCAAATTAAAAGTATAATTAATTTACAAAAAAAAGTGTCTAAAAATATTGAAGCAAAATTGAATAAAAATACTAGTTTCTCACAATGTATTTCGACACTTAGTATTGAAGGTATAGTACATTATACTAAAAAAAAAAGATATAAATATATTTATTTTATTTTTAGATATATATATAGATCGAGATCAAAAAGTTTTATTAAATTATTGCATCACTACTGATGATATAGACCAAATATATAATCTTCTAAGTAATGTGAATTGTAGATTTTGTGCATTTGATAATACTATTAAAGAAAATAAAAAAATTAAGATCTTGTTAAATTAGTGTTGAATAGTCAACTAAATAAGCATATAGAGGTTTACAAAGACTAGCTAGATTATGTCAATTTGCTTAAACAGATATTAAAGTTAAGAGAGTCAGTCACCTTGTCATTCTTCACGTTGGTTTTTAGCACCTAATTGTGCTCAATTGGCTGCCAATACTTTCTCAATTCCTATTGCTATTTTTGATGAAAGACAAACAAAGCATGTTGTTCTTTCTATTAGAAATACTACTCATTCATTGAAGAAACCCAATTATTTTACATTTTATAAATAATAATCATATCATACATGTAAATATAAAAACTTATGCAAAAGTTAATTGGCTACTAGTTAATGTTTAGCATATGCCAATATGTTACAAATATGGTCTTAAAGATTACTAGTCAAAGCTTTTTTTATAATATGTTTTTAATTAATTTTAAAATTATAAAGCTTGAAAATTGAATTAATAAATTTGTAACCATAGGTTACTGTAACCATAATTATGATCAGGTAATTACAATTTTTTTTTATAAAAATAAAACTTTGCAACTAAGAGTAGTTAGGGTGAGGCTAGGAATAGAAAAAGAGGATAATTTATATCAAAATTTAGCAAAGAATAAAATAGTTTTTGTTTTGATTTCACGTTACACCTGATCTTAAAATTTAATTGGCTTTATTGGATGCGGTTACAGTAACCGCGGTTACAAATTTATTAACTCAAAATTATATAGTTTTTTAGAGTAAATTAGTACTTTTATCTTGTATATAAAATCAAATACAAGTTCCTTTCTTCAGAAAGTATTTAGTGCAAGAATTTGTACAAGGTGCATATGCTTAGTTCCAACTAGCATATATTCATTTCCAATTAAAAATATTTGGACAAAGTGACGTGAAAACACTAACTTTAATATGATCTCTTATTAATATCACTATCAACATACAGTAAATATAAAATAATCCAAATAGATTGATATTAACAAGAGTCAACTGTATATATAAGAAAATTAATATAATTTTAATATGTAGAAATTCATTTATAGATTAGATTAATATTAATGAGATAGATTTTAATGAGAGTCAACTATATCATTTGTTTTCATGTATTGAGAATAAAAGATCATTACTCTACGCTCTTATGTGATCACATGACGGGATTTTACTGCTTATAATTACTAATCAGTAAAAAAAAACCCAAAGTTTTTTAGCAATGCAATTTATTTCCCCAGACGTCTGGTGAAAATAACAAGCATTGCCGGGAAAATAACAAGCGTTGCCAAGGAAATAACTTACATTGCTAAACTTGGTATTTTTTTATTACAGCCATTTTCAAAATTTTGTGGAAGATGCAGACCACTATACCATGTGGAATTCACGATATTTCCCAGATTTCTAGAGTCTTTAAGACCCGTTATATCGGATTTTTAACTTTACTAAGCAGAATTCCACATTCTTCGATTCCCCCATGGGTATATGGAAATCGGTTTCCACATCCTTTTGAAAACAGCTGTAATTAAAGTAGTGACTATGTCGTAAAACTCCGTCATGATATCCTATAAAAATACCCTTATTCAGCTGCTACGGGAAAATAATCCAGTAGATCTCCGGTGATATACCTCTTATTCTCGCATTGTAAGGAATAAATAGTACTTAACAAATGTGTTCAGAATAATCTACACAATTTTTTTTAATAATGTCTTTCATTTATGGTTTTTATTCATGTGAATGAGTATAAAAAACAGATTAAATTCGATAATTTGTTAAAATAGATCAGTCAATATTTAGCATACGTATTAAGAGACGTAGGCATAATTGTTGAATATTATGGCTGAAAAGGAAATCGACATACTGTATTACATTGTTCTGGGGCTGCTAAAAAAATTAGCGATAACTGAGTCGATAAGCGGCAATTTTTTTTACTTGTCCCAGAATAACAGTGATACGTATAGATTAACCGGCTAATCAAATCGGCTTAAAATACTATTGCAAACTCTCAATGCAAAAAAAAAACTATAAATAATATTATATAGCATTGTTAGCCAAAGACTCTAGAGCAACCTTATCTATAATAATTCTACCAAAAAATATCAAGAATTATTAAGCAAGCAAGAACATTTACAAAATATAAACATGTATTCTATATCGGAAACGAGTGAAATACATCTTACAATGATCAATTTGAAAGGTAATAAACGGGTGAAGATATTAAATATCACGCCCTATTATATATCCGATATCATAACACTAGTATATAATATATATACAGAAAAGCATGATATAACAGATAATAAAGTATATATACTCTAAATTTGGAGCTAGTCTAATAAAATGGCCATATCGTGCGTGTTTAATGGGCTAAACTACTCTTTTTAGAATATTCGCCAGTTTTTTATCTAGACATTTTAACCATATTTGTTGTTATCAATACGTTACGTATTAGAATAAATGTAAAATTTTACCATTAATAAAGCTCTGAGAATTCTAGTGGTTTAGCCCGTGAAATACAGTATGGTGTATATTACACGAGATATATATACAGTACAATGCTCGTCTATAAAATTCGATCATGTGATAAAATTCATTTTGAAACCAAATTTAAACTGTTATATTATTCTCACGAGAACAATATTTAAACCCGAAATTCAAAAATTAGTAATAACGTGCGCATCCTAAAGTATTTATCTACCGAAAAACTATACTGAAATAGGCATTATGTTTACAGTATATGTATTAGGATAGCGTTGATTTTTGATTTATCGATCAAATAAAAACGCACATTTAATAATACGTAATAATAAGATTAACATTCCCTAATAGATTCATTAAATGAGCTCATACGTACGTATAATTGTTTTTTTATATTCTTATATATATATATATATTATATACTTATAAATTGATATATAAATTGTTATATAAAGAAATTGTTAATTTATCTTTATGGAAGTGTTTTCTTTTTTTTTTTTTTTTAGGGGTCAGCCGATTATTTTAATTAATATATTTTGTAAGCAAAAATACATTGAAAAAATAAATAAATCAATTAAATAAATATAAAGTATAAATCAGCCCCTTTTAAAGAAATAATCTCGTTAAAATATCCAATTAATAGCAACATGAGTCATAGAGTAAATTTCCTATACAAGTAAAAGAATCCGTAATTTTATCATTGGTTATTCGTTATTCAACCGATTATATACATACAGAAGTACCTAAGTAGATATCCTCACGAATGTAGTTGAAAAAGAAAGTTTCACACAAATTTCAAATTGATAGCCTTTTTTAAATAAATAAAAAATTATTATAAGTGTACACTATCGCTAAGCTTTAGACCCAGATTTCAGGATTTAAAAAAGGACAAATGTATACTTTATTCTTTATAATTCAGAAAAAAGTATAATGGGAAACCAATAACATAACACCACGCATTTAGATAAAAGAGATCTACTTTGAAACTAACATACCAGGAATTAGATTCCTAAAAAGTTGTAATAGAAAGATATCTTTAACACGTTCATATAACTGGTGACAATTTCATGAAAATCCTTACATCATACAGTTACAAAATCTAAAGAATGCATGTGATAAACACTTTGACAAACATAGGTTCAAATGCTGGAACGGAGATGTCCCTTGTACGTACGTACGTATGTACGTACAGTATTTCTTACACGGATCCTGTAGTGTTCCAAAAAATAACAGTAAAGGAGAATATAAATTATATTGTGAAAGTTAAATCTTATTATAATTTTATTATACATAACATAATCACTCACTACAGATATTGTAAGAAAAGCTGCACAGTGACACATACATCTAGATAAACAAGAACAAATGTTTAATAAATAAAACCGGATAAAAGAATTGAATCTTTGAATATAGAATTTTTTTTTTTTCATCAAAAAAAGCAAGATAAGAGAATTCTTAAATAAGAAGAAAGAATTGTTAGTATTAAAGAACAAACCTTGTTGAAACTTGAATTGATAATGCATGCACCTTTCTTGAACAGTAAACTAAAGATTCCCACTGTCAATGACACATTGGCAAAATGGAAGAAACTAAAACCGAACGGTAAATGGTGTGTTAAATAATCCAGGAGATTTATCGATATACTATTTTAGTTTTCTAGATATCGATAATTGATAACAAAAAAAAAAACAACAATTTGAATAATACTTTATTCATTATGAAAATCGGTGTTACTAATGTTACCATAATTACTTTTTTCATATAAATGATTCGTAATACAGATATAACCAAAGGGGTGATTTTTAGGTAAAATCTTACTGCAATGGATTATATTCGTCTACGAAGATAACTAAAGTATAATGATAGTCATGATTCATAAAGAAGGATACTTGGACTTCCTCTTCACAATTATTTTAACAACAATGCTCATTATCAACAAATATCAATATGGGAAAGGGTCAAGAAATCTGCAGTGACACGTTTTCTAGGGAACGAAATCAAAGTTAGAAAAAAAGTACAAAATTGTTAAACAATTAATCGACAAAAAAAAACAAACTTTTAACATATACAACAAAAAACTAGAACCCGATCACATGTAAACATATTCATTTTATACTAAAAAGAAAAAAGAAATACGTACGCTAATGAATACAAGATCTTCTTACTAGAGAAAATACTCGTTGATCGCAATTTACTGATCGTAAATGAGGGAACAGGAATGGACTTTGCTTAATGAAGAAACCTATATAGATTTAGGGTAAAGAAAGGTGAAAAAAAAAAACAAGCATTTCATTGAAAAAAAGAATTAGACATCTCTAACTAACTTGGCGTTACTTGTATAAAGTATACACACGGCTTTGAAGTAAACCTTAGATTGCGAGTGAAAAGAAAAAACAGTTGTGCCATACGTATTTATTTTACGTATTTATGTGCATAATTAGATAAAAATAGAATAAAATAGAACAAAATAATTATATAAACAAGGACAGACAGATACCAATACCGCGTGGAAGGTTCTGAGAAAAACAAAAATTTTGCGAAAATTAAAATCCCAGGACTTTATCATATAATAAAAAAGGGTATATTTTCTATCGACGTATCAAAGGGATCTTTGTAAGATTGCAATGAAATCAAATGCATGTGAATTTATTTATCAAAAGTTACATAAATACATAAATACCGGATAAAAAAGCTGTTATACCTGTTATACCTGTTATACCACGATGACATGACATTATATGTCAATTCTTATCATACATGCTGTAAGGAGTGTATCTGTGTCGCCGAGTAATTTTTAATACATTAGTTCTTTAACGTTGTGTTATTGTCATTTAAAACCTTTGATACCGAAGCCTTGTTCCATTTTTAATCATTCCAATCATCCTATAACAGAATAATCATTTAAGCGATCATTTAATGATCGTTTAAACAATCATTTTTAATGTCGTATTCTTTTATAACTTTAAATTTATTATTCCATAATTCAATATATATATATTTTATTATTCTAATAATTTTAAATTTACGGGAAAATTTGGTTTTTTTCATTATAGTGATCGCTCCTTTTACCAGTTACCGTATTGTACGTACGTATGTACAGTACAGTAAATACAGTAACTAGTGTATTTAATTCTAAATACCAGGAAAACCAACCGCAGATCTTGATGTTTCCTCGAAGGAATCACTTTTTTAATTATATGTGTTTGAATTGTAAAGCTTATGAAAGCCAATCCTGCTGTGACAATCTGTTGTCATTGCTTATCGGTATTATATAATAAGCGTGTACATAAATACCAGCATCCCTTATCAAGTTCAAATATTTATATAATCCTGATTTATCAAACTGACAGACGCATTACGTAAATCATTGCAGCCAATATCGATATATCGATATACATGCTTTTTTTTTATATATAAATAAATCTGTAAATTATATATATCGATATCAGATATATATATATATATATATATACAGTTTCATTTTAAATTTATCTTTTTCTTTTTTATCTCGTTCATCTTATTAATACTTTTAATCCGTTAGACCAGGATTTATGATAAATCCTTTCCTTCTCTTCGAAATTTGATTCGATTGGTAAGAATTTCTTTCTATTTTTATTATTTATTTATTTATTTTTTTATAAAGAAAGGGTAAAGCCATTTCTTTTTATCCTTTTTTTTTCGTTAGGTATTCAAATGTTGCATGATTTTTTACTTCACCAACAACGCGAAAACTTTCTCGTTTAAAAAAAAAAAAATCTCTTTAATATATTTTATCTCCAATCAAAAAATATCCTTTTTAAATCTCTCTCACAATTCGAATAAAAAAAACTCACTTTTTTTTAATAACAATAATAGAAAAAAAAAATTCTTTTTTTTTTTTTTTTATTTATTTTATTTTACGGCCATTCTGTTTCTTTCCAATTATTATGAAGTAATTTGATCGTTTTAAGGATCGCTCTCATTCATGTTTGTTGACCATCGAATCATCTTGCACTTATATCAGAATGATTATAAAGCTCCCGAATGATTGTCTCGATCAAATTATTAGGTATTTGGTTGAAAATGCTTGTTCATTATATTCATGTTTATTAGTGAATAAACAATGGGCTGCCGTTACTGTTCCTATTTTATGGACTAATCCTTGGAAATATGAAAAACCTTCTAAAGATGAGATTGATGAAACTTTTTGGCCATTAATTATCAAAGCTGTTTATTCTTGCTTCTCACCCGATACAAAAGATTTATTTAGGAAAAACGGTTTAGATTTAACTTTAGAAGGTTGTGTTACTCCTATGTTCAACTATGTTCGTTATTGTCAACATTTATCTCCTGAAATAATTGATCAATTAACTCATGAGAGATCTTTTAATGAACCGCGTGGTGATATTTATCGTACATTTCGTGATCAATTAGTTGAACAAGAACTTTATAAATTATTCATGTCTAGCTCTTCTTTAAGGCATCTAGTTTTACCAAAGGTTCCTCTTTCTTATTGTCCTGGTTTTGATTTATGCTTACAAAAACTTCGTGAACTCGTCTGTCGTTCTGATCAACCTGTTGATCTTTTTTATGGTTTGGCTCAAATTTGTAGAGGTATCCAAGGAATTATTGTTGATCCTTGTATTGATGATAATGCTGGTTTAGCTGCTCTTATTGAATTTCAATCAAATTTAAAATATTTGGAGATTCATGCTCCTGAAGCTCGTGCTGTTGAATGTTCTTTAATAGGTCAAGCTATTGTGTCTCAGGCTCATTCTTTAATTTATATTCATTTTCAAGGATTTTTATGTATTCATCCTTCAACTCTTGCTTCTCTATCTAATTTAAAGACTTTAAAACTTTTTATGTCAGGTCATATAGCTAATATTCAACAATTTGCTTCTTCAACTTTTCCAAAACTTGAAGTACTTGATATTTTTTGGGATGAACATACCCCTTTCGACATTTTTACTATGTTAATTCGAAATACAAAAGGTTCTCTTAAACGTATATATTGGAATACTGATTGTCCTCCAAAAGATTCCGAAGATATTCGATATTATCTTAATATACTTACTCATAATGCTTTTTCAAATCTTACATTTGTTACCGTTTGGTGGACAGAAGATGTTAATCAAGAATTTGAAAAATTTTTAAGATCTTGTATAAATTTACAAGCACTTAAAATTTGTTCATTTCCTTTGGATGGGATTCCACAAGCTATAACTAGATTATTACAAATTTTATCAAAATATACCCCTCCTGGTTTAAACGTGCTAGATATTGATGGTGATTGGATTTTAACACCTGATCATCTTCAAAAATTTCTTGAATCTTGGAAAAAAAAACCACGATTATCTTTATTTATATCTCCCAAGATTACTTTATTAGAACAACATAAACATTTGATAAATCTTTATCAAGAAATGGGTGTTTTAAAACATTTTCAGGATGCGGAATTCCTTGACGAAGTTGAATATTTAAAGGACATTTTTGATTTATGGTTATCATCTTGATATCGTACAAAAAAAAAAAAAAGTATTTTTATTTTGTTTTCTGCTTAATCTTAGTATATACCTTTTTTTTTCTTTTTTTTTCTTTTTTTTTTTTTTTTTTTTCTTATCATATCATTTGATCATGTAAAAATTTTTTTTCATAAAAATATGATTTTCGTATTTTTATTTTTATTTTAATTTTTTTTTTTATTGTAAAATAATTTGTTAAAAAAGGAAAATGCAAAAAAAAAAAAAAAGTATTTAGATAAAAAGTATTTAGATTAAAGAGTTTTTTTTTTTCTTGATATAAAAAAACGCATGCAGTAATTTTAAAACACATTGATGATATTAAACTTTCTTTTCTGCTATGTAAACAAATATGTAAATATTATATAAACATTATACGTATAAACAATATATATAAACTTGGTTTTTAACGTTTAATTTATAATTACGGAATTATAGACAATTAATAATAATTAATATTGTAATAATAATTGTGAGCTACGTAAAGTGTTTTGTCGCGACTTGTTTACGCGATGAAAAGTTTCCTCACGTGATGTAGAAAGTGCTTTTATATATCAGTATATATTATTGATCAAAAGTATAAAATATAATAATAATAATAATAATAATAATAATAATAATAATAATAATAATAATAATAATAATAATAATAATAATAATA